TCTCTTAATTACGTGGGTTTTAATTTCTCTAAACTCCAAGAGGATACGTATGCAATTTAATTTAATTTTTTTAAAAAAAATTAAGTTCAAGCCCCTTTTTTTTTTAAATTATGTTCAAACTTTTTTAAACAAAAAATAAATTCAGTTGAATTTTTTTTTTTTTTTTAAAATTATGTTCAGAACTTTTTTTTAATACACAAAGAAAATAAATTCAGTTGAATTTATTTTTTAAAAAAGAAAAATAATTATTAATTATGTTAAAGTCTTTAAAAAAATAAATTTAATTGAAGTATTTTTTAATTTTTTAGGTATATTTTTTAATTTTTTATGTTCAAATAATTTTTTTAAAACCGGTCTTCAAAATTTAAAATTTAAAATTATGCGATTCGCCAAAAAACCGATCGGAACCGGTTTTGTCACAGGACCGGAACCGGAACCGGACCTTTTCGGTTCGGTTCCGGAACCGTGGCCACCCCTGGTTTGAGTATCATAAGTTGGATAATATAACTAAACTATAAATTGTAATAAATTAAATAATAGTCACAATAATTATATTTATTGTAATATAATTTTAAAAATGGTTAGGAGTTAGAAAGTTGAGATGCAATTTGTTTTAATGGGTTGCACCAACTCCCCCAACTGATAAAGCAATCTAATAACTGATCTTTCACTTTCTTAATTTTGCATTCAAGCTTTGATTTTTTCCTTTAGAAGTCATTATCATATTTATCAATATTTTTGTTGGGTAACAACCATAAGTTAGATACATACATTAAACGCAACACCATAGATATATCAATTTGCTTTTTCCCCTTTTTCTTTCTTTCTTTCTTCTTCTGCAGGCTTCAATGATTACCCATTTAAAACTTGGGAGTGTTTGTAGTATCCAAACTCACTTCAATTATATGATGACCTTTGAAGCATTTATGTTGTTTTTGCTTTTTTTTTTTTTTTTTTTTTTTTTTTTTTTTTTTTTTTTTTTAAATTTTTTATTTGGTCTTTATGATTCTGTCTGCAATGCACTAATGGGTCTCTCTCCCTAAATGGTTACACCCTTCATTCCATTTTTTTTTTTTTTTTTTTTTTTTTTTTTTTTTAAATTTTTTATTTGTGTTCTTATATGCATTCTCTGCTTGCAATGCACTAATGGGTCTCTCTCCCTAAATGGTTACACCCTTCATTCCATATAAAACGTTTTTGAGTATCTTAAAAAGTGATAAGTGATTTTTTTTTTCTAATTTTATTATTATTTATATTAGATACAACAACTATTTTCACGGTTATTATTAGTTTTGAGATAAAGTGTAATTTTATTAAATAATTATTGATTTTGTTATGATTTAAGAAAATTAATTATTTTTTTAATTTTTATATAAAAATCTTAAATAATTTATATTTTGAAAAGAAATAAATATTTTCTTTTAAGGGAATCCTGAAATTGAAACCATGTTGGTCTGTCACTTTGTTTTTATTAATTAATTCCACTGTTTTGAACCTTAATTATTTTTACTGGGGCCAGAGGGGCAGGCCAGTGTTGTTTTCCATTCCAGCTGGTTGCATACAAGTTTTGTCTACTCCAAAGACCCTTTTGCTTGGCTCTTGTTTTTAGACCTAACTTGGTGCTGGATTTTGATAACAATAAATTTAATAGTAAATAGTAAATAATACACTACCTGATAATAAATTTAGATTCAAATTTCATGATTTTCATTTAAAATATTGAATTTTTTCTTATTAAACCCTAAATTTCATGCAAGCTAAAATCAGTTATTACAAATTTTGGGAAGAATAGAATCAAAATGGGCCTAACCAAATGGAAAATCACAGTTTAATGTTCGAATCAAGTCACTTCAATTTCAGTTTCTTCTATTAATCATCTGATAACTGGATGAGGTTTACACATCAGCAAGAAAAAGAGGGACCATGGTTCTAAGGTAACAAGATGAGAAAGCCACATCAGCAGAAAAGGGTAGCACCATTTGAAATGTAAGCATAATCCATTGGAACAGCTTTGATGTTTACTAAAAAAAACTTGTAAAAACAATTTATAATTATAATTAATTTAAAAATAGAAACTAATTAATATAAATTTAAGAATATTTTGGATAAGATTGTATGGAAGAAATTTAACATAGACAAAAAATAAGTTATGATGCGAGAAATAAGTGATCTCGAGTTTGAATCATTCCGATCACAAATATTTTCACAAATTTGTTAAGGGAATGGCTACCCTGTTATGTAGCATATAGTGTTATTTCAGCTCATTGGTCCTCTAACGAATTAAAAAAAAATATATTAGAAAAAATATTTTTTAAAAAATAATTTTCAAATATAAAATATTTTTCTTAAAGAAATGGAGTTCAATATGCATGTGTATTTTTGTTAATTATGTAGATGAGGTTGCCACATACAGAGCATGGCTAGCCATGAAGGTCACCATCTTCGGTCATGTAAGTGCATGGATTTGGTGGGCCCATGAAGTTAATCCAGTACAGCAGTAAATTCTCCTGATGTGGGCTTTGAGGTAGGTCCAAAAAGGGAATTGTGTGGGTGGGTACTTAGCCATTTTATGCATTATTAGGTCCACTTGGTTCATGAACGTGTGAATATGTAAAACTAAAGTTGTAGTTAATTAGTCAAAAAACTATTCTTTGCACCCTTCAAATCCGAGTACTTTTTGGCAACCACTTGCCACAAATATTCCCCCTTCCTTTTTGAATACTCGATTAATGTTCGATACACTCTAAAAATAGAATATAATACAATGTTTAGAATGAGATTTTTTATTATTGTTTAGCGAAAATTAAATCTAATTCAATCTAATTCAAGTATTGTTTTTCAAATTATTATTATTTTCTAATTCATTATACGTAAAATGGGAAAGAAAGAATATTATGGACTGCATATTATATGGGTAAATCTCGTATTTAAATATCATTCACTAAATTGGTGATAACTTTTATGATATAGAAAATCTAAAAGCGGAGGGTGGGGAGAGAGACTAAGGGGAGCTTGAGCCTTCCAAACTTCATAAAATTTTAAAATAATATAAATTATCTTTTCTCATATTTTTTTATATAAAACATGAAAAGATTAATCAGACGATATTTAATTGATAAATTATCATTAAATTCAAATAGGGTCTTGCTCTTTTTAAATTATGAAACGTTAGACCACTAGTGACTCAAAAGTCATTCCCTCGTGAGGTCACTCTCAATAATCTTTTTTTTTTTTTATTTTTTATTATTGTTATATTCGATTGAAGAATGCCTAGAGCATGAAACATAATAGAGTCTTATACGCAATTACCTAGATGGTAATAAAAGCAAGAAATAGGATAAGATTGATCACATTACGCAATTTTAAATTACAAAAAGAAAAAGAAAAAGAAAAATGAAAATATAAAAAAATTGTTTTTATTGTCTTTGTCATCACAATATATTCTACTCTTACACATAAGTGATCTTTGCTTTAGAAAATAAAATGAATGGTGAAGTGACATTTATGATTTGTCTACTAAAGAATGGAGGGAAGTGTTTGCTTACATGAATTGGTCTTATCTGTTTTTGCAAATTGGGCTTATCCTAAATATTTGTTTTGATTTCCCCTAAAAAAAGCATTACTTTCTTCCAATTTTTTATCCTTGGAAGATTTGGTTAATGATGTTGAAATGTAAATAAATTATCTAATAAGTTTTTCTAGCATCATAATCACTCTAAAAAATAAATTGTTTTGTTGGTAACAAATCAAAAGGGGACAATAACATCTATCTCGAAAAATTAATGCGAGTCATAAAAAAAATCAAAGAAATAAAAATGAGAATAAAATTTCACACACGTATAGAGGATGAGATAAAATGATCCAACCTTGACCCAAAAAGAATTTTATATTAAAAATATCATCCAAACATTAAAAGTGAACTAACTGTTTAGATTAAAAGCGTGTTTTATTTTATTTAAAAAAAAAAGGCGCAATTCTCTCTTCCCTTGCAAATGACTTTACCTATACTTATTATATTATATAGAATAATTAAAATATAATTATTTTTCTAATTTGTCCTCCTTCAACCACTTCTTAATTAGGTAATTTATGACATGGTTTCTCTTATGCAGTCTTTGTAGTTAGTTAAGTTGGCAGGTAAATTTGAACTTTGAGTCCAACCTAGACAACTATATGGTTTAACCACTTTTACCACTCTTGGTTACAACTCAGTGTCTCCTTTCCTTTCTATAGCTATGTTTGTCAAAATGGGACCAAACCCATGTTCTAAACATGGTTGCAATTTGGTTATTGTCTAACCTAACCATTAATAGGGACCATAGGGCTCAACTGCCAAGACCCCCCACCTAACGATTTATTTTTTTTTTTTTCTCTTTGAATTTAGAAGCACAATGTGCAACAATTAGTTGAGGAATGAGTTTGGCCTCTATAGATTCTGTCCTCCTTTGAAGCAAAGAGGACCCAACCATATTCCTTTTGGACCACTATAACAATTGAGTCCAAACCCACAATTGCAATGTAAGGTACTTTCTGCATAGGCCATCCTCTTTGAAAAGGGCATGCCTGTCATTATCATATCCAGACTAAGGTGAGGGTTTGTACATACAAATTTTCCCTTTATTTTGCATTTTATTTTCTTAATTCAAGAGAGATAACAATCTACATCCATACCTTTGAACTTGTGATTTTTTATTTATATTATTGTTATTATTTTTTAAAAGATTTTATTAATTGAAATAATGCACACACTCACCACTACATGGATTTCTTCATTTCTAATAAATGAAGGCTAAGATGATAAGTATCTATCTTAGTTGTTCATACAATTATGTGATATTAATTATTAGGAGATTGCAATTAATTGGAGATAAGGATAAAGATGAAGATGCAATTAATCCCTAGTCTAATGGCTAAGGATTTGGACTCGGTGCGTTTTAAGTTCGAGTCCTTCGATGCTCTCCTGACATTAATATCAAATAATTGTTTTAATTAGCATGAGCTGTCAAAATCACTTGGAACTGGATTATTATAAAATATTTCATTGTACCATAATATTTCTGGAAAAAAAAAAACAAAAACAAACACGTTTCTAAATTCCAAGGAGGACAAGTCTTCATCAGTTATCCTTCTAAACGCCATAGCTTCTTGGTATATGATTTTCTGCCCATTGATAAAGGATAACTGGATAGGCCTTATCAACCAAGTCATTGCATCAAGTTTGTTCTTCTCATTTTTATTTAAAAAAGAAAAAGAAAATTTAAAGAAAGGACAACCATCTAAAAAAAAAAAAAATGAAACTTGAAAGTGAAGTTTTAAACCTCAGCTGCAGAAGGTTGTGGTTTATTACCTTCCATTGAGATTGGATTGGCACATCTTTAACAAGGTCTTTTAATCAAACATTCTAAAATTTCTGGTTAGGAATCCTCTAGAATACTCCCCATAAATGCATCTTCTGTTGAAAGGAATGTCCAGCTCTTTTTCATCTACAACAATTTTTCTTTGCTTAGGAAAATCCGTAACCATCACTAAAAATTGCACACTTCTTATAGTTCAATACAACTTCTGTACGATATGGAATGCTCTGTTTTATGCTCATTGAAAGGATAAAATTCTGAACTAATTGAATTTATATCCCTAGAAACTATGCATACAAAGCATGGCATTTTTCCATTATCAACAATTGAAGACTTAAAAAACACCTGCAGTTTCCAGTTCAACTCGATCGTAGTTTGACTATCTCGCTTGCTCACCTGGGAGAGAAAAAAACAGATGAATCAATTAGTTAGTGCATTGTCATTGACTAACAAAATGGAAATTAGAACATTAAAGAGTAAAAAATTATGATTCTGAAGCAATATATGAGATCCCAGTAGTTGGTGGTTCAGCAATTTCTAATCAGTTATTATTAATACTATATATAAATAATAAGTCCCAATCATACATGGGAAGTGTAGATGGACCAAATTTCTGGAGTTTTTAGAAACTACTAAAAAAAAATTTTCGGACTCCTTTATCAACTGCCTAGGAGGTCCAAAGAGAATTTTCTGCGGTTCATGAAACAGAAATTCCATTTTAATTTACACATGCAAAAAAGACTAAAACAGAGACATGGTGCCTAATTTAAAGATCAAACAAAAATCTAAAGGGCTTTTTACAAGAATAGTACGGCCTAAATGTGAAAAGTAAAAGGCGAATATGATCCATAAAGCAGACGAAGAAATATTTGGGCCTAAGGGCCGACGGTAGCTGCTTAAAAGGGAAAAGTGAAAAGAGGGAAAGAAAAGGCCTTTGGATAACATGAGTATCCATGATTGTGGCCAGTGAACAGGAGACCAGAAAAGAAGCTGTACTCATATGTATAAACTGTATTATCATTGACCAATATTAGAAGGCTACAACCAATTTCAGAGCATAAATGAATTGTCCACACGCTAATCAACTCAGAAGATATGGAATTCCAAGTAGTTTGACAATAAGATGACAAACGCCATCGATATTCCAATAATAAGCTCCTTACTTCTCCATATGCAGAAGAATTAAAAGATTAAAAAAAAATAAGCGACCAAAGTGTAAATTTAGCAAGTTAAAAACATGAACATTGCACTGACCCACATGATGCCCCATAGCTATTTAGGAAGTAGGATAGTAAGGTGCTCCAAAAGGTTATGCTTTCACAAATTTGAAAGGAGAACCTCTATATTGTTGTTAACTTACTCTCAGCTTCCTCCAGAATCATTTGTGAAGATGGACCAGTTGAAAACCCCAACTTTAGCATGATTTCTTCTAAACGATTTACATTTGTCAGGTATAGGTAGCCAACCTACAAAATTATTTCAACTGAGTTAGAAGCCAACCGACTTCTGAGGATCAATAAGCAAATTGGATAGCCAACTATTAAGCAAGCAGATGAATCATATTTAACCACACCGAATTGTATTTCAAAAGCTCACTAGTAATGTGGTAAAACCAGATGGTAAAAAAGAGCACTAACTAGTGTTTCTAGTGAAGATGCTCTGTTATATACAGCTGCTCCAGCACGTTTTTTTGTCCGTGTTTTAGCTGAACCAATATTCTTTCCCCAACGAAGGACATCTCTGCATTAAGAATTATCAAATGCCATTAATGAAGACAAAATTTTACAAATTATAGATGTACTACTATGGATTTTAGTAGTCGGTTTATAAGTTGCAGATGATTGTGGGTCCAAGGGATCATAACAATAGCAGAAGATACATTCTTGTTACTGATCGCCCATTCCACCTTTGCATGCAACAAAAAATAACTAAAAAGGGGCATGATCAAAAAGCATTTTCTAACTAAAACTAATAGACATACATCAGTTTCTTTTTATGTGGTAGAACACATCCGTTCATTATTAATTGGTTTAAGGGACTGCTACAATACTGAACTAAAAATCATGGAAATATTATCACAATCTATATTCTAAGTTTCACAATCTGAGTCTTTGGAAAATCTCTCCAACAATTATCTCCACAGGCATAGACTTTTTGAAAATGAAAAATATTCTTCCACAGAAAGAATGTACTTCTCTCAGCATGGGTAAATCTTATTAGGGGTAATGAGAAGGCAAATTTCATGTTTCCTTGCCTCACAACCAGATAACAAACCTGTACCTCAAATATCGTCTCAATTCCAACAAGCATACCAAAAAGTCCAATCTTTTATTCATTTTACAAGCCATCATCACACTCCAAAAGAGAAACTAAGTTCTCCTTTGAATATGAGCCACCAACCAAACATTTTAAGTTCAGATTCTTCAGATTGTTATGAGCCTTTCATACCTTTCTTCTTTTGATAAGCAATCATCACTAAGAAGTTTCTGAAGCAACGCATCCTGATTGGAAAAAAACAGATATTAGCATGTCTAACAGCACAAATAACCATAAAATTTAAGAGTAGAAATTTAAATCAAATAATGACAGAGGAAACTCCTTCAAATAGACATCTATATAAAGTAAGCACCTAATTATTGGGGGAAAAAGAGAACGAAGGAGGTAACAATAAGATTTACTATATTTACATTAATCAATGACTAATTACTAATCAGTCTTTTTTTTGCAACCGATTTACCATCTAGACAGCTAAAAATAAAGCCAAAAAATGGTAAGTACAAAAGGGGAGAAGAGCTCATAATTATATATATAAAAAATTATATACAAGAGAGAGATTCTACTGAGTCGATTTACCCTTAAAACACACAGTTAAAATTGAGCTGAACTGACAGACTTGGGAGAGAGGTTAACCCTTGATAGTAGGAAAGAGAGTGGAAATAAAATTTCCCTGTTCCTCTTACTGGATCTATGTACAACAACAAAAGTTTACAGTACAGATTACAGCATCCCTAGGAGGGGAAGGAGGGTATTTAAGTAAAGATTTTACGAAGAAAATCGTAAGGAATTATAGACTATCAAAAAATATAATGTACTTATATACACACACAGGATAGATTCCCATTAATTTTTTCAAAAGATACTAAAAAATTTAATCGCAATAATATGTACTTGTATACATTTCAATTCCAAATTATGCACTAAATACAAAATGATAGAGAACCTAATGACTTGTGTAGTTGTCAAGCTCAAAATATGAAACTATGAAGTTAAAATTTTTAAATAAAAACAAAGTAAAAGTATCAAGCGATTAAAAATTTCCTATCCAAATCAATGTTCATTCATTATCATTTCCAAATTCAAGCCCTTCATCATTTTCATCTTCTAATAGAATTATATTTTCTTGCTCTCTTTCTCTATATTGAATTTTTCCATACTCAAATCGTAAGATTCATGCTCAATTCCAATTCAACCATAAAATTCGAATCATTTAGCATAAAATTGAATCGAATTGTATGATTCAAATTGTGAATCATAAGATTTTGATATAACTGATACCATATTATGAATTCAGGCACAGAAAATGTACAGTAGCACCCAAAGTGCAAAGAGATAAAGAGTTTAGGAAAATCATACCTGTGCTTCACAGCGTACTACTGCTGTTACACGATCATTGTACTCGTCAATACTTAATGGAGGAAACAAAAAGTGCCTTCGAGCGTATAGCTGCAGGTTATAATAAACAATGATATAAGAACGGAGCATATCGTCAACCTCTTGTCATAAAGAACTTCTTACTTCTAAGTTAAACAATTTGCGGATGGATGAGTTTGTGCAGTAATTCTTTATCCTATATTTTTGCCAGCATTAGAAGTCATTCCTTATCTATTCACTAATAAGTCATGCCATTCGTTTTTCATGAGTTTGTGCATTAAATAAAAGATATGTGCAGCAAAGAAAATAATCGCAAACTACAACCTGATGCCCCAAATCCACAGAGAAAGAAAAACAAAAACACCCACAATCTAGCGTCCAAAGTGTTCTTGCGCATTATTTTGGTTACATGAAAAATATATTGACTAAATATCAAAAACAAGCTCTAGGTTCAGTGAGTATAAATAATCCCAGAACTCACCTCATATATGCTATCACCAATATAAGCTAAAGTAGCTGCATTATAAACTGATCGAGGCTTCTCCACTTTTGGTGGACTGGGCATCCATCTCTCATAGCCCAAATAAGTATCACCAAATTATTGACTAAATATCAAAAACAAGCTCTAGGTTCAGTGAGTATAAATAATCCCAGAACTCACCTCATATATGCTATCACCAATATAAGCTAAAGTAGCTGCATTATAAACTGATCGAGGCTTCTCCACTTTTGGTGGACTGGGCATCCATCTCTCATAGCCCAAATAAGTATCACCAAATTTCGTTACAACCGCTAAATAAAATTCCAATCAGAAACACAACCGTCAAGCTTTAAAGTCTAAATTTAAAAAAAAAAAAAATTATACAACTTAATTGCCATTTCCTTCACTTTGCATCTTAATAACCCAATGAAAACAAAAATATCGCAACTTTAAAAATTTGGTGTCACCTTGAGCTTTAGTGTTGCGCTTGAGAAGTTCTGAAACTGCTTGAGGAGTCAAAGTAATTGATGGTGAAGGCGTTGGTGATGGTGTCGGAGGTAAAGAGTTGGGTTGGGAAATAGGGTTTTTCTTGGGTTTTCGAGGAGCGTTGGGATTGTATGAGAGTCTTTGCTGGGTGTCCCATGAAGCTCTTACTATTTGTGAGGACATTGCGGATAGAGCAGTTGACATTTGCTCGTTTCAGTTGGGAAATTATGCGACAAAGGTTTTAGCTTTAAGTATTTTGGTAGCCATGGCCCTGCATCATTTCTTGGTCCATTGATTGGGTAGGCTTCGTTTTACAATCTTGGGCTCTTGATAGCTGACTTTGGTGTTGAAGCTAAAGCTGAATTTCTCGAACGACGGAACGACGAATTCTGTCGTTTTCTAATAGGTAGTCGTCGAGTTCACGTTGACCCGGTCGGTCTAGTTTTGGATAACAAAACCGAATTTCTCAATCCCAAAACGACTAAATTCGGTGACTGTCGTTTTCTCTTATAAACTGAAGGATCGCTGAAGGGGACAGAGACGGCCTATCGTTCCTGATTGCTTCGAACGACAGAGCCACCAAAATGATAGTCAAAAACTTTAGTTCTGTCTTATATATCACCAAAAAGAGTCTGTCGTTGTAGCATAGGTTACCGTCCCATCGTTTCTCTTTTCTGAAAATTGACCAAAAGGTTGAGGCTAATTTTGTAATTAAATAAATGAATTATTATTGTCATTCTTTTAATAGTAAATAAAGAAAAGGGAAGAACGAGAACGATAAAACTCTATATGTGGAACTCTGTTAAAACCCTAAATTCCAAGATAAAGTAATTTTATATCTACGCCTGAAATAATCCACAGCTAGCAGAGCTGAAGCCATGAGCCGATACGATAGCCGCTCCGGCGACCCCACTTCTTACCGTGATCGGAGAAGGTAACAATTATAGGCAGGCTTATTCGTTTATGTATTTAGTTTGTGTATTAGGCATAAACATCAAGTATCTGCTTCAGTTTAAGTCTTTTAGCTGTTTCTGGATATGGTAGGCATAAACATCAAGTATCTGCTTCAATTTAAGTCTTAGCTATTTCTGGATATGTTGTTTTCGCTGCAATATATCTTTAGCTCAGTTGATCATATATATTTGCACTAGGCATAAACATCAAGTATCTGCTTCAATTTAAGTCTTAGCTATTTCTGGATATGTTGTTTTCGCTGCAATATATCTTTAGCTCAGTTAATCATATGAACTTCGTTTATATAGTCACCCAATGTCAAACACTTTTATTTGAGGTGGTTTAGCGACCCAAGTCGAATTTTTATCGCTTCTATATTTGGTGTATTTCTTCTTCGCCTTCTGAGGTTTTTTCTCGCTCTTGTTTAACTGACTCATTTCATTATTATGAAATAGTGCTTATAAATTTTGAAAGTTAGTGGCAATTAATTATGGATTTTGGGTACCGATTGACCAAATAGCAAACGTGCTAAATAATTTCAAATTCTAGTCCTTGTACCATGTAATAATTGTTTTGCCCCACAGAATGTTACATAGTTTCCTAGTAACTTGTCTGTTTTTTTTTTTTTTTTTTTTGGGAATTTGAGTTTGTTTAGAAATGAACTACTTGCTGCTGGTATGGGGTTAATTTGATCCCGTTGTTTCTTCATTTCTATGAGTTTTGTGTTTGTTTAGTGATTCAGGTTTTGGAGGGGGTTCTGTTTATTCCGGTTCAGCTCGGTCCTCATCTGAGAGGAGAGATTATGGTGCTGACTCACCGAGGAAATCGGATTTGGATGGGTTGACTCCATTTGAGAAGAATTTCTACATTGAGTCACCATCAGTTGCAGCAATGTCCGAGAGGGAGGTTGATGAGTATAGGCAGAGAAGAGAAATTACTGTAGAAGGCCGTGATGTTCCGAAACCTGTCAAGAGTTTTCGTGACATGGGGTTTCCAGGTATTCAATATAAATTTTGAGAAAGCCCATTATTTTCCCTGATTTTCGTTACCATCACAAATTAGGAATTTTGGCTATTTGTTGGTTACCTTGATCTTCTTTTCACTATTCAAATCAACTAGTTTACTGAGATTTGCAAACTTTTTATCCAAGATTTGTAAAATTCATTTTTTCTCTGCCATTTTCTCACTAGGATGTGTTTGCTTTTACTCTAGAATATGTTCTACAAGAAATAACAAAAGCTGGCTTTGTTGAACCCACACCCATACAAGCGCAAGGGTGGCCAATGGCATTGAAGGGTCGGGACCTCATCGGTATTGCTGAAACGGGTTCTGGGAAGACACTGGCCTATCTATTACCTGCTATTGTCCATGTCAATGCGCAAGGATGTGTTTGCTTTTACTCTAGAATATGTTCTACAAGAAATAACAAAAGCTGGCTTTGTTGAACCCACACCCATACAAGCGCAAGGGTGGCCAATGGCATTGAAGGGTCGGGACCTCATCGGTATTGCTGAAACGGGTTCTGGGAAGACACTGGCCTATCTATTACCTGCTATTGTCCATGTCAATGCGCAACCCATTTTAGGTAAAAGAGTACCTTGCTAATTTTTGGAACTTCTCATTTGCTGTTTTACATTCCTTTTTGTGCTGTTGTTAATTGGGTGAGTATAATTTGCTTTCTATTTTATCCAGCTCCTGGGGATGGTCCAATTGTATTAGTTTTAGCTCCAACACGTGAACTTGCTGTTCAGATACAACAAGAAGCTGCTAAATTTGGTGCATCATCGAGAATTAAAAATACATGTATCTATGGTGGGGTTCCAAAGGGACCTCAGGTGCGCGATCTCCAGAAAGGTAGGTGGCGGCTAGGTTTGAGACGACATTGCTTCTATACTGTATTCTGACTTTCATGAAATGGCTATGCTGTTATTCATGGTAATTGAGTTTATGATGGTTTTGTTATTGTTTAAACTCTGCAGTCAATCTACCATTGATGAATATAGCAGTCATTGTTCTATTCCTTTATTTCTGCCCCTTTACAGGTGTTGAAATTGTTATTGCCACGCCTGGAAGGTTGATTGATATGTTGGAATCACATCATACAAATTTACGGAGGGTTACCTACCTGGTGCTGGATGAGGCAGATCGGATGCTAGACATGGGGTTTGAGCCTCAAATACGAAAAATTGTTTCTCAGGTTTTTGCTTTTAGGCTTGTCTCTTCTTCTGATAAGAAATTTTACCTCTTCTTGAGAAGACATGCTATATATAAGTTATCTTACAATGTCATTTACAGTAAGAATTTCACATGGACAACAGTGTTAGTCTCCGATGCCTCTTTTTCCTCTTGTCCTGGTTTCTTCAGTGATGCCAGTCTCGTTTAAGGATCAATTTGTTCATAGTTGGAGAGATTAGATATTTTACGTGCATATATTTTATTAGGGGACTGGATTGTTCATATTTCTAATTCAGCTTTTGAAGTTTCAGTTGTCATTTCACCGCACTAGTAGATGAGTAATAAAACATAGGCAGCTAATAAACTACATAGGAGTTTTATTTTGTGAAGTAAAAAGAAAAATTTGGCATCTGTTTAAATATTCTAATGTGTATTGTTATAAATGGTTGACTTATAGTTTAATTGTCAAGTGCACCACACCAGAAGCAAAATAAAAAAATTAAAACAAGTATATATATGGTTAGGAGATTGATTTTCTCTCTCATATGTGTAGTAGTGCAAGCATTTTCCTTGCTTACTCTTAAGATTATTACTTAATCTCCTATTTTTTGGCAGATTCGTCCAGATCGCCAAACTTTGTACTGGAGTGCTACTTGGCCTAAAGAGGTTGAACAACTGGCAAGGCAATTTCTGTATAACCCATACAAAGTAAGCTACTGGATAATGCTTTTTTGATTCCCATGACATGCTATTTTCTGCAATTAGTTTTGATTTTACATTTGTGTTTGATGCAGTTGCAGATGCTATTGACTATTTCCTTTTCATTGGGCTTTTGAGCTTCTGAAGTTTCGTAGTCTTCTTTTTGAATAATCTCATATCTGTGTGATCTTGTTGTATCTTATAGAGTTCTGAAGTCTCTTTTGGTTTTTAGATTCTAACTTGAGTTTCATTGATGAGCTATTACTTAATTGGCTGTTATCCTTTGATATCATGCAGGTGATCATAGGATCTCCTGATTTGAAAGCTAATCATGCAATACGCCAACATGTTGACATTGTTTCTGAAAATCAGAAATATAATAAGTAGGATATACTTTATGTTTTTTTCTTATATTTGTACTTTCTTGTCATTTATATCCGGTAATATGAGATGTGTTTTTGTTAGCAGCAGCTTGACATAGCCCTTTTTGTATTACAGGCTGGTGAAGTTACTGGAGGATATCATGGATGGCAGCCGAATTCTGATTTTTATGGATACCAAGAAAGGTTGTGACCAGATCACTCGGCAGCTTCGCATGGATGGATGGCCCGCTCTTTCGATTCATGGAGACAAAAGTCGTGAAGTTACTGGAGGATATCATGGATGGCAGCCGAATTCTGATTTTTATGGATACCAAGAAAGGTTGTGACCAGATCACTCGGCAGCTTCGCATGGATGGATGGCCCGCTCTTTCGATTCATGGAGACAAAAGTCAAGCAGAAAGGGATTGGGTCCTCTCAGAGTTCAAAGCTGGCAAAAGTCCTATAATGACTGCAACAGATGTTGCTGCTCGTGGATTAGGTAAATATATACCATCTTGTTTGTTGATCTTACTCACCATCTTATTTGTTGACATAATTTGGTTTCTCTGTTCGTCCATAGTTTCTAAATGTATTTGTTTAAATTGTGATATGTCCTTGCTGGCATAATCCCATCTCAACCATGAAGGAAATAATCATTTTCATTTCATTGCTATTGTTCAAGGCTTCTCTTACCTTTGATGGGCTCTCTGATCCTAATCTATTGATTGGTGGTGTCATGCTGGTGGTTAGAAAGTGTAGATATTTATCTTTTTCCAAAATTTGGAGTTCATGTCGTTCCCTTCAAATATCTTTTCGGGCATCTGATCTCTCTTTGGCTTGCAAGGGAGAACTGTCTTGGATTTTGAGGGGAGCACCTTCTCTTGACTTGCCTATTTCAGTACCCAGTTCCTTATTATTTTATTTTGGTGGCAGATGTTAAGGATGTAAAATATGTGATTCAGTACCCAGTTCCTTATCTTATTATTTTATTTTGGTGGCAGATGTTAAGGATGTAAAATATGTAATCAATTATGACTTTCCTGGATCCCTTGAGGATTATGTTCACCGGATTGGTTGAACTGGAAGGGCTGGAGCAAAAGGAACAGCCTACACTTTCTTCAAAGCTTCAAATGCCAGATTTGCTAAGGAACTTATCACCATACTTGAGGAAGCTGGGCAGAAGGTCAGTCGAGAATTGACTGCAATGGGTCGTGGTGCACCTCCTCCTCCAGGTTGGTTGACTGTAGGAAGTTTTTCGGATGCATATACCTTTTTTATGTAATATGGTGGAAATTGATATTCTGAACATGTTTTTGTTGTAACTGAAGTCTGACTTTGTAATTATAAGCTCAAAGGGACAGTCGTATAACTTGACAATCATTGCTGCTATATTTTTATTGTCCTGTACCATACAAGATCCAAAATCACAAAGGAGATTTTGAGAATGCAAGATCTGCCACTGCTGTTACCTGTTGGTCTAATCAACAATGACTTGATAGGTCTAGTAAAATATTTTCCTTTCCTTTCGTTTCTTTTCTTTTTCTTTTTCTTTTTCTTTTGTAAGTTTATGTCAAATCTTGCAATCTTGGATGAACTATGATTTTATGATCACACCATTTTTCCCCAGTCATTAACACTATTGCAGACTGATTATCTAATCATATGACCTGATGATAGCTCTGTTTCTCCTGTAATGTATAAATATGTTCTTAGTTGCTAAAGCACTGTTTTGTTTTTGCATCTGATGAATCAGGTTATGGAAGTTTCCGGGAACGTGGGAGGCGTTATGGTGGTGGCCGCTCATGGAGCTGATTTATGAGATCAATAACTGAAGGGAAATTTATGTCCAGAGCATAGATACCTGAGATGTCATGCCTAAACGTTGTTCCATTTTATCATTTTTTTTTTTTTTAATTTCATTGTTAACTTCCTGAAAATATAGGGCTGTTAGTTCTGTAAGATATGACTTTATTGAATGATGCCCAAAGTACCATGGCTATTATTTGATCTGTACAATAGTTTAAAATCAGTATGGTTCTTTGTAACCAGTACAGGATAACAAGCTCATTTCGGCAATTAATTTTCATTCGTTTTTTGTCTAATATTTCTAATTGTATTGCCTTCGTTCCTGTTAATTTGATTATATGTTTTTTTTTTTTTTTTTTTTTTTTTTTTTTTGAGAAGGAATTATATGATGGGGTACATGGTATTTGTTGTAGCTTAGATTTGGATTTAATCGAAAACAACTCATATTTTAAAAGTAAAAAAAGGCTAAAATTTCTAATTTTTTGATCATAATTTATTAAAGCAATCAAAATAAATAAAAAAGTGAGTCTTTTAATAAATTATAAAAATGTAAAATTTGAGATTATTTTTCATTATACTAATAATTTTAATTTTACTGTTCTTAGATGGAAATTTCAATTTTTAACAATAATATTTTTTTGGCTTAAATACTTTATGCTAATTTTCACGACAATTGAAAAATGACTATCTTTAAACCTAAATTACAAAAAAAAAAAAAAAAAAAAAAAAAAAAAAAAAAAAAATCCCATTCTTTCCCATTTGAAGAATACAAGAAAAAAAAAAAAAAAAAAAAAAAATCCATTCTTTCCATTTGAAGACATAAGCATCCAGGAGAATAGAAACAGAAGCAGTACTATTAACTATTAAGTAGAACAAAGAACAGTCGCAGTCGCAGTCGCGCGGTATCGGGGAAGTAGGAAGAAGCGAGTCTGAGAGAGAAGAAATCTGATATCAGAAGACACAATGAGTGAGGCAGGTCCAAAGCTCTACGCCAACAAGCCCAAGAAAGGTATCCAATAAAAGTCATCGCGAGTAAATTTGACAGCAACAACTCCCAAGATTCTTCATAACACTTTCTTATTTGTTTCTTCTCTTCAATTATTTGAGTTTGGTTTGGTTGTTGACTCGATTTCTTTTATTGCAATAACAGCGCAGCTTAAGCAATTTCAGGAGCAACTGAAGGCAAAAGATTTCTCTTCCCCAACACCAACACAGACACCGTATGCATCAGCATCTTCAGCTGCTGCTGAGTCGTACAGAATGGGGTCTCAGTCTACAGCTCCTCCTCTTCAGCTGCTGCTGAGTCGTACAGAATGGGGTCTCAGTCTACAGCTCCTCCTCCTCCTCCTCCTCCTCCTCAGCCTCCTAAGGAGTCCTTTGCTAGACGTTACAAATTCCTTTGGCCCCTTATCTTGACTGTCAATCTAACTGTTGGAGGTACTTTCTTTTCCCAAATTCTACTCATTTCTGTTTGTATGTCGGGCATATTTATTGGTTTGATGCTGGCAATACTGAAAGGGGTATCTTGATTTTGGATGGGAGAGGTTTATTATTATTATTTAGTACTATTGTTTATTGTATTTGCTGATAAGGTAACTTTGAGCTTGTGAAAGATTTGAAGGCCTCGGTTTTTCTTAGGGATTCTTGAATTTCTTTTGGCTTCTGAAGGGAGGATATTTGTCTAGTTCTATATGTCTATTGGCCGTGCATAAATTTTTTTCAAATCATGGAATTGTAAAATGAGTATCTGGATTCTCTTTCTTGAAAACATTCTTGATTTGTTATTGGAGGATAATAGGGTTCAGAGCTTTTGTTGGACATGTTGGTTTCAATTGCATTTCAAGGATCTCCTTTTCTTTGATTAATTACTTTAACAGGTTCCAGTTGTAATTTCTGTTGACAACTGGAACCTGGTGAGAGCCAATAAGGTGTAAAGATTTGAGCATGATTTGCATAATAGATTCTAAGCAGAACTGCTTCTCTTGTTTGTATATAAAAGCATTGGTATGTGAATGATATCAATATTCCAAAACACACCAAGTAGTAATTTGTATCGGACTTGAAGTACAGGTTGTCATTATGGTGATATATTAATCATATTTGTGTACAGAAAATGCTTTTTTTATCTCCAATTTTCCCAATTTTTCTTGCAAATAAAAGCCCATTTGGTTCAGTCTTTTCATGCTATAAGTAATTGTACAGTGCTTGACAGCCATCGAATTAGCTTGCAAATGAAGCTTCTAATAGATCATTGGAAAAAGAAATATTGCAAACTTCTTGATATTATGAATTCGCACAGACTAGATTTCCAACTGGTTAAAGCCTATGTTATGGGCAACCAAATAGTTGAGTTAGGCATGAATTTCCATATTTATTTCAGAGATCTAATTGTCATGCACTTTGATCACTATATAGGCCTAAATGTGAAAAATTGTGCAATCTTTTATCTACTTTTGCAGTAATGTTTGATGAAATTCCCAATTAACATGGCTTGAGTGCACGTATAGTGAGCTCATGTTAGAATATCACTCCATTACATTAGCAAGTTAAGAAAGCACCTTAAAAGGATTTACCTGCAGAGGTCAATGGGAGGAAAATGTTCGGCCTTTAACTTGGGGTGTGGTCCCATAGACGCATAACTGGAGAGAGAATGTGACATCTTGCAGTTATCCTGCTGGTGATTAATTAAATTGATCATATTCGGGAATTAAAGCTTCAATTGTAGTGGAGAACAAGTTTTGGAGACTATTTGACATGCTAATATCTTGGAGTTGGAGCCTATTTATTTCAAATGAATAACCGAATACAGCTTGCAGTTGACTGTGGTGCAGCATATTGGGAAGGATTCTGAAGGCTCTTTAAATATATAAACTGTCAAAGGGCATCAGCAAATGAATGCTAGTCTCCCATGTGTGATTTAGTGATTGCATCAAAATTATCGAACTGTTTAGTTGTTTTGCTCTCAGTCAGCACCGTGTCAAGCCCATTTGAGTATCACATGCTACCTTATTTTCCATTGACCGTGGTATATTTTTTCTTTAGTAACTTCACATTGTTTTTATCTGCTTCATGCATTTTAAATTATAATTTCATTTCCATGAATGAGATGCTATGACAAGTGTGCATTTCAAAGTTCTCCGTTACTTCAATATTATATATTGACATGCCCTTATATCTGTTTGGGAATTCGTGAACATAAGATGTTGCTGCACACTTGCATAGCAAACTCTAATTTCCAACGTTGAATGTTGTTCCATGTGACATAGTATATATGCATGGTTCTGTGATAGTGTGATGTATGTGATGCTTTTTGACTCTATATTTTAGAAATTGATTCTGATTGGCTTTAAATTGCCTCTTTGAGCCATCAAGCGTGGCTGAAGCATCTCTTAGAACTGTATATGAGCCCATTTCACCTGTGAAACCAGCATAGTAGATCCATGGTACAGTAGACTGCAGCACACCAGATAAAGAAAGGCATAGGTATTTGTTCCTTTTCGAAATCATTGAATCTGTTGATAATAAAAGATCCTTCTGGCTTTCCTGAACAAATGACAGTGACAGGAGGAACCTATAGAAGCATTTCAGTATCACTTGAAGAAGTGATAGATTGATTCAAATACTTCATATGGCAAGGAAGAAAATCTGATGGCCATTCTTCTTCCATCCTATATCTGATTAGATAAGTGTGATTTGCTTCTTGAAAAGCACAACTCAGAATCTAACATCTGTCCACTAATTCCAGTCTGTTGGGTCTATTTGATTATTTATGAGTTCATAAAATTTTCATTAACTAGTACACCTAGGAATTTAACTCTTTGTTAGGTGCTCATTTCATATATATTGCAGCATCACTATGCAGAGGATAATATCCATAAACTTACCTCTATAACAAAAGCAGATATATGCAACCAACACGAAACTAGAGTATCAATTGAAAAGAAAAACAGTGTCAAGAAATTGAATATCAAACACATACATATACAAACTTATCGAGCAAGGAAAAGACACAAAATCATAGCATAAGAGAGCCCCCCATCTCCCTCTCCCTCTCCCACCATCAAGTAATAACATCTGACAAAATTAGATACAGTGTTGATTTGCTTCCCCAATTTGAAAACGCCACCAAATCTACCACACACTCCTAAACATCCTCTGCGATCCCCACATAAATATCTCCGTCTGGTCATGCAGGCATAACTATCTACGAATACTATCTTACCCCTGAAACTATCATAAAAATCAAATTCTTCAAAATTTAACACCTCAAAAGAACAAACCATAAAAAAAAAATTTAACCCATATCCTGTTACGGCCGCTCGCCTCATTATCAACCAGTCATATAGACACCCCACAAAAGATACAATCCAACTAAACGACCAGAGCCGACAAATAATCACATTCAACAACAAAACTCGATAAATAATAAGATGCGAAAATAGCATGCAACAAACCGATCTCTTCACATTAGCCCCCATAAGGGATTAATCTACATTCCTTCTGACAAAGAAACTCAAAGAAATCACGAAAACCTAACTACCAAAAGCTGGTTACTCGCGCGTTACCCCCAGGATCAAAAAAAAACCAACAACCACGCTCTACTCCCAATACCCAAAATCTACGCGACTAAGCCCGCCAGACGCGTTAAGATTGGAACCATCACAACAATGCATTTCAGATTGAAACTACTCTATTGATATTAAGAACAAACTGACGAAAATTATCACAAAAATGGAATAGCGAACCATATAAACCTTTTAGAACTTTAAACTCACTTACCAACCCCCATAATATAATAAAAATACACCATATATAATAGTAAATATGTAACAATCACACAATAAACCCAAAACAACTCCCAAATAAAATTACAAAAGACTTTCAAATATCTATTTAATAAATTGTTAACAAAACCAACACGTATTAGAAAATGAGACCAAAGCCCCAGAATTATACAATTTCCAAGTTAGCATTAAATGCTGGAAATTAAAATCATGACCACCCACGAAAAAAGAGCCCACATTAAAGCTCGCAATTCTCATTAGTAATCGATTCTAGGACGCATTCATACCTCTTGAAATAAATTTAGCCTCTAGAAGATAGATCAACAAAATAATGGCAAATATAAATTTCGGCGTAGAACTACGAGTACTTCAAATCTTTTATATATGTTACTCTAAATAAAACGAGATCACACTCGCTTGCGAGAAAAGGTCTCATAATATTTAGATTATCCATCTAAGGCGCAAGATAAGTCGTACTAATCTATTATTTATTTAATACCCCAATATATCACCCAATATTTTATTCGATATATATCTGCTAATCTTGAACAACTTAGCCACACAGCTGATAGTGACAAACACACATGTATAACTAATATATGATTCTTTAGACCTCAAAATCTCGTAGACAGATACTATACCTAACCGGAAGGAAGAATAATAAAAAATGACACTATATCTCATTTCAGACACTTGAAAACATCGCGCCCGTATTCGCTTTTTATAACTAATTCAACTCTATCTCTCCAACCTACCGCACACAATATAGTTCATAAAGAACTAAAGACCAAACAAAAACAGATAACAAGGCCGCATAGAGGAAAAGACAAAGTCCAAAAGGAAAACAAGACACGACAACAACCTCCCTTCCGACGAAAACAGGTATGCATCCGCACCTGCAAAATACACAGTCTCTCTCGCCAACAAGCACACCCTAGAATTTCCACTGCAAAAACCCACCGCTATTTGGAACAAGCTTATTGAACACACGCCCAGCAGTTGAACACTATTCCAGAAGAAAAAAATCCAAAAACCAAAGCACTACCGCAAACTGCTACTAAAAGTGGAAATATTTGGAGATGAACAACGAGAAGGCTGAACCACACCAAAGATTCCGTATGAACAAAGAGAAGAGAGTGCAATGCCAAAAATGAAAAGACAACGAAAAAGACAATCTTATTCTTAAACAGTTATTTAGAGGCAAAATCCCATACCCAAGATATTCTACATTCATTGCTAAGCTCTCCTTATTCCATTCTTGGAACGAACATTCGCAGGCATTTTCTTTTATCCACTTGTGAAGTATAGGAATCTATGCTATAACGTGGACCCCTCTCAAAAATGACACTGTTCTCACAGATATAATCACGAAGATTTAGTGCTTAGACTTTGCTCCATAATTGACACACACAAGGTTCGAATGTTCATTATATCATCTGGATGCGACCAAACAAAGACAGTACCCAACATTACACAATACTCTCTATAACATAATGAACAAATTAAACATTACTATAGATACATCGCATATCCTACATAGCAGTTCTGTACCAATTAGGAATCAACTTTAACTAGTTTGCTGTGACCGGTCAAACATAATTAATCAATAAGGAGACATGACAGCACAAGGTGACCCAAATCATTATTAAATATAGCAAAATATCAAAACCAGATGCTCCCAAACCCTACACAAAATAAGAGAAGGATACCCCATATAACGCCCTGGAATACTGAATTTAGAATTTTTTAACAATTTTTTAGTTCAACTGATTCTTTTCCTTGTTCTCTCTCTACCATATAAATTACTATTTCTTTACCCAACTCTGATGTTAGGTAGCCATTGACTTATTAATTGTTCATATCCAACAAAAATCAATATTTATACTTTGCGTACATGCTTATGTGGAGAATTATGGCGATACATTAAAAACAAACATATAAAAAATACAAACTAAGAGGGCAAAAAATCATCAAACTCTTATTTCGCATTGTCATATTGTATAAATTATCTGACCTACAGTTGCGCAATAAAACAGGTACATGATCTTCAGAAAAGGAAAACTTAGTATTAATGTTCTCACTATGTAATATGAACTCCAATCACAACTAAACAAAAGAAAAATACTCAGAAAATAGAGGAGCCAAATAATATAATAACAAAAGTTTCATAATCTTAAATTATTTCATAAAGATTGACACATAGATCTCACACTGGTGACATTAGGTCTAATGAAAGCGTACAAATAAGCACAAATCTCCCAAAACAGAGCCGACAAAATTGAGGAAACAAGAGCCCCTAAAATATGGCAAAATAAGATAACTAACAAGACAAGCTAACAATGAAACAATCTGCAAACATACCACTCTTCGAACAAACAAATCTACAATTCATTAATTAATACTAAAATATATCTATCATTACCTCATTATATACCTATATACCTTCTTCACCTCACCTTTACAAGATTAGATTAACCATTCTTTCATATGACAGATCTAAACAAAAAACCTTATTTCGACAATATAAACAAAAGAAAAAATAACACAACTAAGCGCAATATTATAAATCTTAAAACCCCACACCCTATCTATAACATATAACGTGAATACTCTAACTATTTTTAAATGTCCAAAAATTAGTACAAATTTCATAAAAAATTGAATCAAGGTGACATCCAAAATACTAATTTAAGTGGTTTGAATCCACAAACAGTCGTGATACTATGTAACTATCATTCTAAGGACCTACTTTTAATCTGATATATCTTTTGTTTGTTATTTGTAACTAATATTCTTTTGATTTTAGTTATAAAGGCGCAATGCAACTAATTTATTTACAAAATGGGAAATAAATTAAAATTACACTAATTATAAAGAAAGAAATAGAAGAAACATGAAAAATGGAGAAAGATATCTACAAAAAAAGCATAACAGGAAATATTGAGGAGAGCCCCCAAATCTAAATTGGAGAAAAAAAACTTAGAAAACATAAATAAATAACATTAATACAAAAATTAAAAACCCTAATTAACAAACAGAAGGTAAAGTTATAAAAAGTAGATTAAAAATAATAAAAACAATTCACTATCGACATATGATTTTACTTAAGACTTAAGTTTAATTAAATTTGAATATTTTTTTAAATATTCGAATAATTAAACAGGTAACACCAGAAACTAAAGAAAAATAAAAGAAAAATAATAAATAAATAAAACATATTGCAAGCCCAAATAAGATACAAAATGCCAGAAAAGACAACTATGGAAAAGCGACAAACTATAGAGATAAGAAACAAAAGGCCAAAAAATATTTGAATAACCCAAGAGATTAGGAATAAGCATAGACGTGATATTCCGCACCACAAATAAATAAACCTAATGTGAAAATTGGAAAATTCCCATACCCATTGATTAGAATTGCAAAAATACATCGCACATACAAAATTGGAAATTAGCACAACTTACCACAAATATATCCATACAATTGCAGAAAGATGAGAAGCACAGGTAAGAATGAACTTAAAAAATAAACTCCTCACGTGTGACTTGTAACTATCATTAGGACCTCTTTTCTTTATCTTTTGTTGTTATTTGCTACTTTTCTTTTGATTTTAGTTTAAGGTTGCTTAATTATTTCATAATTGGAATAATTAAATACAATTTGAGGATGAGAACATGAAAATTGAGAAGTCTCAAAGCTCAGTTTGGGGAGCCATTAAATTGGACTGATTACTTATCATTACCATTTACACAGAAGGTAATTAAGTTAATTACATTCTATGCTATGATTTTCTTGATTAGTTTATTTAATTTTTTTTTTTAATTTGAATAATTAAACAGGTAATCACAGAAACTTTAAGAATAGGAAATATTATAATTGGTGTAATGAGAAAGGCAATGAAGGATATAGAGATAAAAGAATATTTGATACCCAAGGGATGGTGTGCTTTTGCATACCTTGGATGAATTCATCTTGATGAAAATCACTATGATTGGCCTTACCAATTCAATCCTTGGAGGTGGCAAGTAAGAAATTAAAATTTTTAATTATTATATATTATTTTCTTTTTTGTTTTTAATTAAGCATCTAATTAATTAATTTCACAGGACAAGGACATGAGCAGTTGCAACTTCACTCCATTTGGAGGTGGACAAAGATTATGTCCTGGACTAGATTGGCCAAGCTTGAAGCTTCCATTTTCTTGCACCATTTTGTTACTCAATTTAGGTAATTTTTTTTCTCACTCTTCTATTTTCTTCCATTTTTATAGAAATGAGAAATTTTTCGAGCGTAGAGATATACATATGCAGATTATAATTTTTATTGACACTCTCCAAAATCACTTTTAACGCGATTTAAATTTGAAATTTCATGAAAATGTATTGAGAATTTTTCTATGCACTAAAAACAACTATATTTTTCAAAATCATTTTTTAGACATGAGCAAAGACAAAATCATAACAATCCAACTTTCTCCCATTTTTGAGCAAATAAGTATCCTTTACAAGGCATTATTTGTTCTTTCCTTAATTGGTTACTTCCAACAAAACCAACTTTGCGATCAACCGAATATAACCAATTAAATTATGGTTTGAATGTAACCAATTAAATTAGGATTCCACACAACCGCGGTGTCAAGGGCCGCCTCTTAATTTTATTTTTTTTAAATTTATCTTATAAAATATATAAAATTTATTTTTTTATCTATAAATTAGTAATTTTTTTTTACTTCAACTCTTGTAATTTTTGAATTTGTTGTTTGCTCCCGCTAATTATTTTTTCTGATTTCGGCGCTGGTTCCACTCTTCCACTTGATCCCTAATGTACTTTTTGTCTACATTATCTTTATCTATTTACCCTAGATGGTCATGAAGAGGACAGTCTCAATCTAGCTATGGCTGGCTCAAATCCTTGCAAAATAACAATTATTATATATAATTAAGGAATATTGCAAGAGTGCACACGTGTGGGGCATCAACAAGACTGACACGTTTGTCCTCTTCCATATAATATATAGATATTGCAAATATAGACTATATATATATATATATATATATATTAATATATTATGAGTATCTTGCAATATAGACTATATATATATATATATTTATAAGTATAATATATACATTCAATTCTGTATGGGTACCTCGCAGTAATTATATTCTGTATTGATCAACGCTCATTTTTACTTCTATTTTATTTAATTTTTACCTTAGGCATGGCCCATGTAAAATATATTGTAAAAGATAGAATTGGTGACTTGAGTGTTTGTTTAATTGATTTTGTGGTATGGGTCCCATCATTTAATTATATTCTATGATCACTCATTTTTACTTCTATTTTATTTTAATTTTTACCTTAGCATGGCCATGTATAATTGTAAAAGATAGAATTGGTGACTTGAGGTTTGTTAATGATTTGTGGATATGGGTCCCAGTGAACAAGTAATTCCATTTTAAAAATATATGTGAAATTCTAGTTATGTAATTAATAATTTAAATTCACCAATTATATTTTTGGATGGAATTAAACATATTTACTTGTAATTAATTACAATCCGACCCCAATAAAACAAAATAAAAATAAATGATCACATAGCGAATCCCAATTAATTTAGGATTATAATTTAATTATTGTTATCACAATATACCCTTGCTCTAACTATATTTTTTGAATTTTTGTATGCTATTCGTGAAATTATTGTTTTAATTATATTGATGCTCTCTTTGTTATTAATTGGACGCTTGATTATTAATTGATACGAAGAATAATACCCATCAATATAAAATCTCTACAGCCCAATTCTTATGCCTCTCGGAGCATAGGTAAGACAGCAATTGGAGGACCTTCGGCCAAACTGGATCTTGAAAGAATGAAAGAGCTGAAAGAGTTTGATGACTCAAATGATTAATAGATGCCAAAGTTATTGAGCATCCCCAGATGATTTAGGTCCTGTAGATACTTGCGCAACATCACCTATTCATAGATCTGCCTGGTAATCTAAAGAGTGATAAAAGGATGATCATGGAACAGGTATTTTTCTAGAGGAAGATCCGGAAAATAATGTGACCTGAAAAAATTATATCAACAAATTAATTATCATCCCTTCAAAGAAAAAAAAAATTATAAAGAAAATGTTAGGTAATTTTTATAGGAATGAGCCTCCATGGGACAAGATGTATTTGAATTGATTAGCTCAACTCCAATAATTGTCCAATAAAATGCGGAAATGACCCCTGGAAAAGTCTGATTAAGTTCATTCATCCTCCACAGCTTTCTACGTGACTGAAACATTATAAAGAATTTCGTTGTGATAACATAAAGAGAAATAAAAAGAAAAGCAAAAACATTTTTGAAAGATGGACTATACCCGGTTCGTAGATATTGTTTCTTCATTGTGAGCAATGGATTTTCTGAAAAATTCAATGATCCCAAAATGTTCTGTATATCTCCATTGACTGCCTTGAAAATCTCTTATAGTGGTTAAACTAGAGTTGCTAGGAATTTTCGCCTTCCAACCAGAACACCGTGAAAAACAAGAATACAGTGAAAGAAGTTTCAAATTAAACAAAAATCTAGGAGTGCTTGACCTTCTCAGCATCAAATCTGCTTTGTTGATGAAGTTTATTTTTTGGGTGTAACTCCAAAAAATAGGATGTCTGAACACATAAATTGATTTGCAACTGCATATAAAAAATAGGATGTCAAAGCATAAATTTTGTCGTGAATTTCACTTATAGAAAACATAAATTAGATGAAAAAATTAATACTCAATATTTATATTCGTAAATTCAAAAAATTTCTCATACAAATTTAAGTTAACATGTATTTTTTTTTTTTTTTTTACCCTCCTATCAGTTTGTGATTGTTGCAAATAACGGCAAATGTCTACAAAACTGTTGTGAACACTTTTTTTTCCATATTTTGGAGCTGTAGCGATATTGACGGATTGCAAATCTAACCAAATCTTCAAAATCTTTCAAGTAACCTTTTAGTCCATCGTTCAATTTTTTACCTGAAAAAGAATCAAAATTCATAATTAAAAAGGTGACTCAAAATTTAGTCTCAGTTTTGTAATTAGACTTGTAACTAGACTTGGAAGCGTGCAGTAGTAGAGATAGTCCTATAAAGGACAATAAAGAACTGTGAGTAGTGTTAGATAATTCGCATCATCCGCATGCATTCATGCATTCACGACTAAATGCTATCATGCATTATTTTGTTGAATTGCCATTTCCGCATCATCCGGCAATCTGCATATCATCTGCACTTCCACAGACTAAATGCTAATCATGCATTTATTTAGTTGAATTGCATATTGGTGCTGCGAGCCTAAGTTGTTGAAGTTAAATATTGTGCTGCACTAATTGTTGATATTAAAAATTGCTTGATTACCTGTGATGTGATATTACTGTGCATTGTTTGTGTGGAATTGGGATGAAGTGAGTCACCATGGGTTTGTGAGACGTTACCGTTATATGGATCCTGATTCTCATTACCGTTACCGTTATATATATGGATCCTGATTCTGATTTCTGTTAGCCATATAAATGGGAGATCGGCGCCCGTGTGCACCTACTGTTATGATCTGGATGATATGGAAAACTTGACCTCTTTATTGGGCGCACCTGATAATCTAGTTCTGATCGCAGCTCGCAGGGTGGCCTCCTGTTGTGAGTGCCTGATGATTTAGATTTGATAGAGACGACCGGGTTGCCTCCTGTTGGTATAAAAAAAAAAGAAAAAAGAAAAGAGAGACTGGAAAAACAATGAGAGGACTGGTCGTGTGAGGATTATACCAGTCGACCAGAATGGGAAATTGGCTCCCTGGTGCACACATGAGTGGATGGGCCATGTGGGAGGACGGCTCATCGGGCTTTCGGTGACTCCACTGACTAATTTCATGTGATATGATTATATGAAAGTGATAATAATTGTGATTGATGTTGTATTGTCATTTGTGTGATAAATTGCATGATCATATAACTAAACGGGTGGCCAGATTAAAATATTTTAGCATTTGTATGATTGTGTGGAGTGAGAGGGTTATCTAATCCTACTCACTGAGTTTAGCGCTCACCACCCCCCCCTCCCACCCTTTTCAGGTAATAGATGGAGAGAAGAATCCTGCGAGTCCAATCGAATGAGATACAGATCTATAAAATTAATAATCATTGTATTGAATATGTAAATGCAAAGGATAGTGAATTATGGAGTAGAGTTCCGTAATTGTATTCCAAATGGGTTGTAAAATAAATTACAATATCAGTTATAGTATTGAATATGTAATGATAAAATTAATAATCATTGTATTGAATATGTAAATGCAAAGGATAGTGAATTATGGAGTAGAGTTCCGTAATTGTATTCCAAATGGGTTGTAAATGACTAAATAGAGTATGAATATTTATTATATGGATTGTACTTTGGATATATTTGTGAAATAATTTATTGGGCCTGAATCCACAGTTGTGAATAGAATGTGATTTTGAAGTAATACAAGCTTACTACTGGCTTCGAAGGCCTTAAGCCCACCCAGGTCCTAGTGCCGGTCTGGCCCGTGGAAATGGATTGTGACAAAGTTATATCAGAGCATAAGTTAGACCTTAAGAATCAATTGCGGAACTTAGGAAATTGAATATAAGGCTCCTATGTTGGGATCGGCCGTAACCAACAAGGGAGGTGTAGTCTGGATTGAATTCCATTTTAGTGCCGGTGGACGCATCGTATACGAGGATGGAAGGAAATCTATATGACACTTAGGATGAGAACTAAAATTACATAAATGATAGTGAATTATAAAAGGGTCTGGTTAACTGACGTTTATAAAATAAATATTTTGAGTTTTGCTAAATCCCCTCCATCCATTTTGAAGCAGAAGATCAGTTGAAAATTGGTGTAATGGCCTGATCACCCAGTACACTAAATCCCCTCCATCCATTTTGAAGCAGAAGATCAGTTGAAAATTGGTGTAATGGCCTGATCACCCAGTACACCTTGATCCAACAAGAGGCACTGCTTCAAAAAAATTATTTGAAAGTGTTTAGAAAAGAATTTGGCATTTTAAAGATAATAATAAAGTGAGTTTATTTGAACTATGATTTGAGAAAAATGTTTAATTGTTTGCTTATTGTGAAGCTGCAACTAATTGTTTGGCTTTATTGTTTTGTCGGCATGTCAAAAATTTATTTGATTCTAGAATTTAAATTATTTATAATGATTGCATGTTTGATTAATTTTTATTATCTTGTCTATCCCGAGGACTCAAATTAGGCCTATAGAAAT